CATTAATTATGTGTTTATTATGCTGTTACTTCTCTCGAGAAAGAGGTTTTTCTAAATGAAATTAATTTAGTGGGGAATATAAAAAGTTTTAGCTTGTCTACAATTTTTGTATATTTTATATTCCAGACATATAAATATATATGTATATCTGGAGATCGATATTGATTGAGAAAAAGTGATTTGGTACCCTGTCGAAGTTTCTGTCTTTCAAAAACACCAAATCTCTCTCTCTCTCTCTCTCTCTCTCTCTTTCACCGGATGTCTGTTGGCTAACGTCGCGTATTTCCCAGACTTTCGACGCGAGAACGGCGCGACGACGTCTCATCAGCGCCGGCAACCGCCGACATAAATCACAGAAACCGGCGGTTTTACAAGCGACAACCGCGGCCGTCCGATCCCGATCTGATTGCCCTGCGCGGTTGATTTCGAAGTCGTTAAACTCATTTCCTTGCGGCACCATCCTCGGCGACTTTCACCTCGCCAGATTGAGCGGTAAAGCCTGTCAGCCACCAAGAGCCTTACTTACGTAAGTCCGGACGCGCGCAGGCACACACGGTTTCATCCGCACGAGCCCGATTAATCGCCACCGGTAAGCCTGCCGGTCTCTCATATCGGTCTTCCATAAATCGCTGCCGTGTGCGACGCACACAGCGCTCGTTTAGTTCGCAGCCTCGGCAATGAACACACGATGTGATTTTCTTTACGTAATCGCGCTTTTGGAGAAGGCACGATAAGACGTAAATGGAAATGTAATTAATTCAAAATTAATTTTGAAATTTTTTTTCTACATAATTACGTACGTGTAGACATACGGAAGACATTAGTTCAATCAACATATGAGATAATTACTTAAATTTGCGCGAGAAAGAGAGAAAGATGAAAAGTACGTCAGAATTCAGTTGCGCAAATGAATACCTGATAAATTTTACTTATTTTTTTGCTCGATGAGCGAGTTTTATTATTATCATTAATTCTATATAATATTGTTGTTTTCTCAATCATTCGCATCACCAACCTCTCAAGTTACGCATCCCGAAACTCGCCCGAAACCGAAGTATTAAAATCGAACACATAATCGAGATGACGAAATTAGATACGACGCGTATCTCTCCGAACAATTTGCCGAAAACACGAAACCTTTGAAAGGTCTCGTAATATTTGCGCATTAACGTCGGCACAAAAATGATTACGCATAACGTCGGCAATTAAAGACTCGTTTCATTCCGCCGTTTTTTTCTCGGAGATCGACACACACGTACCGTCGTCGTGCAAAAAGGATTTCCTTCGCAGCTGGCACGTAAGGCGTGCATGTCACGAACGTAGCTACAACATTGCGGTATGCGAAAAAGCGATGGGAGTTATTACTGCCGCGCAAAAGGCAACTCTTAATCCCACATTAGCTCACCCGGCTTAAGATAAGAAGGAAAGTACACGAGAGCGTAAAGTAACGAAGAGAAGCAAGAGAGGACTCTTTCCGTACATAAACTCCGCGGCTTTAATTACGAACGAAGGAACATGTTATCCGTGGATTCTGCAAAATACCGAGACGCGAGCCGGATTTAAAGCGTGACAATATATATATATACACGTATGCGCTTCATGTGCGAGCGAGAAACACATGTCGAGATCCGTGACGAATCCACGCCGACGTAGTAATTATCTTCGCTTGCATTGAGAAATTATTGTGAGGTTGTCACGTTCTTATCGTGTCGAAAAAATATTATCTAGATATTTCTCTTCGTATATTTATATAAAAAAAGATTAGGTGTTTTTTAAGTAACTTTCTTATAACTTGTTTTTTTTTTTTTTTTTAACAAAACTTTCTCCCGGCCGCAACTTCCTTTTTCGCGAGTGATTGAAGATAATATCAGAAATATCGCTTTTATCTCGCAATTATTTCCGCGAATAAATGCAAATCGGAAGAGACAATCTCAATGAGACAAATTGCCAAAGGAGGAGCGAACGGAGGTTTAGTCTCTTCGCACTTTCTCTCGTCTCCGAAGAAACTCAACGTTTCGTATAATCGCACCACGTCGCGATTACTTCATCCGGAGGAGCATTACGGTCGAGGATTCTCTCTCGGAGGGACGGAGCGCGCCAGTAGTAGTACTCGCGGATTAATAGTCCGGCGAATTTTTGCTTCATCGTGCGGGCGCGCGCGCGTAGTGTAATTATTCAAATTGCGTCCTGAGAAAGATATCCGTGGAAGATCTCCTCTCCTGTCTCCCGATGAGACGTGGTCATGTGAAGAAGACGCGCAAGGGGAAGTTCGGCAAAAAGACGGAAAAGTGAAGAGAGACGAACGTTTTGCCGCGGGCTGTCTTAGAGAATAACGTAGGCAGCGCGCGCGCGCGCGGCTTAAACACCTATACAGGTGGCACGAAGAGAAGAGTTCGTGACGCTGTCGAGTGAGGGATGGTGAAGTGGAGGCAAGATGAAGATAAACAGTGAACGCCTCCTTGGCAAAATGTGGGTGGGATTACACTTGTGCGTACGTGTGCGTGCACGAAGGAGAAATAAGAAGCGCGCGACAAAATTGCAGAAGAACAGTGTTTTGTCAGATAGAGCGTAATCGTTTCGCGGCAAATTGCTCGGGGCGGGATTGTTTGTTGCAACAGAAGCAAGTGAAAGCGATTTTGATTTTCGCTTTAAAATGAATGCGTGGAATTCTTGGAAAGGAATATAATCAAAAGGAGGCGGCGATATGTACACTCCGCGTACGCGAAATGACGATTTTGCTAATTGAAACATTGTGCTCGTGCAATATACACACAATATGTTGAGTCTGGATAAGCTCGTAAGATACGCGGTACAAGTTGGAAATTTGCTTTTTACGTATGCTAATTTTATGTAAGACGCGAGCGTGTAACCGTAGCAGTAATGGGACGTTTAATGAGACGCGTAATCTTTGCCGAAAGAAACGCTAAGAGGAAAAATATCTCTCGAAATGTATTACGATGTGTAATGTTTTTTTACGTAGCGGACTTTATAAGTCTGCGCAAAAATAGCGTACCGGATACAACGTGTAATTTGAAATTTATGCGATTTGCCAGAGCGATATGAGAAAAATGTTATTGCCGATTTAATCTGTTTGTTTTTGCGCGAAATTATCGCGATATTATCTAAAAAACAAAGTCACGAAATTAGTAGAACAAGTTTTTCTGTAAAAAAAAAAAACAAAGGAAAGAGAGGAAAAGAAACTAATTTGAAATGATGTTGATGTTCGCGTAATCCGACTGCATTACAGAACATGCAATATACTTTTAGTTTTTTTTCCTGGATAAAATTATTTTTGTTATTTATTATGTCGACGCTTTAATAAAATGTGATCAATTTTATTGAGAGCAAGAGAAGAGACGATAACAACGTCAAGGTTGCAGCTGGTGGCATCGAACGTATTATTAACAACTTTTTCTGTGAAAAATTTTAATTCGAAGATATACATGGTAAAATATCTCGTGTTCGGACTTGGGGAAAATAAAAATGGTCATTATCGGAATAATTGACATACTCGTGTGTATCGGGTGTATCAGATTTTGTTGAGAGCAAGAAAAGTTCATGATAATGTTAAGATTGTAGGCGTCAAACATTGATAAATCTTTAAGTTAAATATATCAGGCCGAAGAGATATTTAATAAAATTCTTATGTTAAGAAAATAAATAAAGACATATCGTCATTATCAGAGATTAAGTGATCTCTGCTCTTAAACGTACCAGATGTGCAATTATCATTTTCTCTACATGAGCAATTATTCCATAAAAATGAGAAACTCGGGATAAGATACTGCGGAAATAAGAGAAATAAAACGAGGCCATTTGGTTATCACGCAAAACAACAATAACGAGTTTTGCTTAAGATTGTCGGGAAACCACCTTTTCTTTTATACCCTCCTGCTTTTGTTTGCCAAGGAGGCTGTTTAAAAAGTCACCGATCATCATCAGCCACATAACAAAAAGAGCATTAGCGTATTACCGCGTTACCGGTCTCGCGCGACCTACTCCAAGGATGTCGGCGTAATTCAGCACGAGGAACGAGCTCACGAAGAAGAAGAGATGAGAGAAGGTAGGTAGGTAACCGCACGAAAGGAGGAAGGGGGGAAGAGAACAGCGCGGCCGTCTTTCCCTCAGGAACGCCGTCGGCGTCGTAGGACGCCAGCAAGATGCGGGCAACAATGTGGCCCGTGCTGCGTACAATAGCCTCCGCATTATGTGCACAACGCGGCGAGATGGGGCAGCGCTAAGGTTACATTACCGGCTGGTTGCCTCCTCTTCTTCACAAAAGAGAACTCACAGCTCGGCGCAACACAATGCCGATAGCCAAGAAGAAGCGCGTTTCTTTCGTGTTGCGTATACGTACGCGCCTCGCACACGCACGCAATCCGTCGCGCTCGTGCACGACCGGCTAGCGATGGGATAGAGCTGATACCGTTTTCAAAAAGTGATTATGTGAATTCCAAGATACGTATTACATGTATATAAGACACGCAATTAAACTGATTAATTAGACGGATATAAAATCTGGAAAAGAGAGAGTTTAACTCGAACAAAAGAAATCTTTTTTCTGAAAACATTTTAAAAACTGAGAAATTACTGGGAAAAATTCAAATTAGATTGACTTAAAAAACAGTGATACGTGACAAAGTTGTAATAATTGTAAAATAGCGATTATTTTGTTTTATGCACGTCGCACAACGTCGTTTCGATCGACACACGACAGAAATATCAAAGAATATTCGCTCTTCGATCGTTGGAAGTGGAAACTCAAGTGCACTCTACCGTCTCGCAATCATGTCGATCCCATCGCTGCTCGCGCCATATACGGTTCGTTGCAACGCGTGTTACCACGTGGTGGGGTCGGACTCCGGGCCTGAGAACATTCCCACGTTTCGTAGCACGAGCCAAGAGTATATACAACCGGAAGAATTTCGGAGGCGAGGCTACCCATTCTGCGCCGAGAGAAAGAGACGGACGAAAGAAAGAGAGCGAGAGAGAGAGAGAGAAAGAGAGAAAAAAAGAGGGAGGCTCGTGAACAAGGGGTTGGAGAGAAACGATGGATGATTGCGTGAGAGGAAGGAAGGTAGGGAAGAAGAATAGGGGAAGCGACGAATGGGAAGAGAAGAGGCTCGTCGACGAGTGTCTTCGCGAGAGCACAAGAAGAAGAAGGAGAGCCTCGCTGCGGAAGTTTCGCGCGCCGACACGCTAGGAATTTCCATCGGCAACCTAACCTTTTACATCTTCTTCCACGTGGACGACCGAAGTCACAGAGCACGAGGAGAGGCAGGATTCCCTCGAGAGGTCGCGGAATTGCTGTTCCGGTAAATATTACTGTTACTCAGAGCGGCGGGAGGCAGAGGATTATTATTTTTTAGTTTATTGTTATTGTAGCTCGAGGAGAAAAAATACATCTGTTGATTATTTACACGTTGCCTCGCGATGAGTTTGGGGAAGAGTGGGGAGATGGGTCGTGCGATAATTCACGTTCCTTCGTTCTGATACGAATTTGATAATAAATTACACGCCGCGATATCGCAACGAGCCCGTCGGCTCGATTATTTCCTGGAATATTGTTTCGCGATTTTTTTTTTTTTTTCACAAGGCGAAGCTGCGTATCGATTATTATTTGATCTCGCACACTTATTACATTCGCGTATTTATTATATACATGTATGTACTTATTATATTTGTTACACATCTGCCCTGAGGATGAGTTCAGTGTATATCCTCGAATATATAAAAGTTCTGTCGGCTGCTTTTGTTGTTTGCTCGTGGATTATTTAATAGACGCGATGACTCACGCAACGATTTTGTAAAGACCGTCTTACCTTTTATTGTCGTCTCATTCGCACGTGTGAATTCACATTAGCACGTGTTACGCTTGCAACAACTTAATGACAGCAACTCCATTATCGCTCTTTTTATCTAATTAAACTGTTGATTTAACATTTCGACTAAAGTGTTAAATTACAACATTGCGAAACTTTATTATCACAAAATTTTAGCGAATATAAAAAACAAAAATATTGTAACATCAAAGAATATTCAACTGAATTAATTGAACAACATAAAATTACGTTATCGTTAAACGCTCCGTCGAGCATACGCGTTTCAATATCGCTCGTAATTAATGTCACGCCGATCTCTCGGATACATCAAGTTTTATTCGAACCGTTAAAAAGCGTCTGACGGATATTCTCGAACGTCCAAAGAATTTTCGGAGGACCCTGTAATTTTCCCATCACGCGGCTAATTAATGCATCGGACGAACTCGATGCATCGGACAACTGAAATATCGGCTTAACGGTTACGCGTAGGTAGGTATCGTCAACGCGCGAAATTAATGTTTTATGCTTTTTCTCTCGCCGGAGGTGAAAACTTCCTCGACCCATCCGGCGAACGCGGAAGCGCGCGCCGGTCTCGGCGCGCAAAACAAAAAGAAAAAAGAAAATAAAAAAAACCGTCGGACCCAGAAACAAATCGCGAACTTTATCATCGGGAATCAGCGTAAAGACACGTTGCGTACGCACGCAACCGGCCGCGGGAATATCAACATTTCATTTCGCCGCGATGGAGCGGCCTGGCCGAGCGGTAACGAGTTGTTAACGTGGGGCAATAATACGTACCCGGTGTCCCAGCAATAGCGCCGCGGATAACGCTCGTTTCGTCGGGGCTTTAACAGGCGTACGCGCGTACCGCATCCGGCTCGTATGGCCAATCAGTGTAATTATCCTACCGGTCTTCTACCGGCGCGCGCTCGCTCGCTCGCTCGCTTGCCGCTGCCTTATTTTCGTCCGACGGGAACGTGCATACGATAGACGGAGAGAGAGAGAGGTGAAGAGGGCGCTTAATGTTGATAAACGAGCAAGAAGCGATCTACGAAAGAGAAGATGCGTAATCGCGCTGCTAAATCGGATACAAGCGCTGAGAATCGATAACAAATATTATATACGTGGCACACGTGATGAATTATTAATGGAACACGTTGCTGAAGAGAGATCGAGTAGATCTTATTTTGGGTGTATGTATTTTGAGATTATCTTATTGTCGAAGCATCTGTGTGTGTGTGGCATAAGAAAAACGTTAATAAGAGATAAGTGTATACACATCTACCTGATCACATACATATATATATATATACGAACAGAAGACTGTATCGAGATAAGGATAACATAAGGAGGATTAAGAATTTTAAAGGATAATAAAATTAGCAGATTTGTGTGTTCATTATATTTCTCTACGCCACGTTATCTCTTGCCGTAAAAATATATTGCGAACGATACACATCTCGGTTTTGTTCCCGCGACAGCGGTCCAAAAATACGATCGCTAGACCCGCGTTATCCTCTTAGAAAGAATTTATGTCTGATAATGCCTCGCTGGAATCAATGACGGACTTATCTCTCGCTGAAGAGATACCTGTTTACAGAAACATGACGACGAGATACTCCTTCGATCAGGAATCTTCACCGCGACAGTCATATTTTCCTCACGCTCATAAAGATCTCGACTCGACAAAATTCTACTGTAGATATAACTAGCCGTCGTAATTTCGAACAGATCGGCGGCAGTCAAGTGGCGGTTGTGTATTCAAGGAGAAGGATTTTTTTTCTTTTTTTCTTTTTTTTTTCTTTTTTGTTTGTTTGTTATCGAAGGCGCACACATCGTCGTAGAAGTATCCGCATTGCCGCCGAGACGACTGTCTTGCTTTAGCGTTTAGACACAGAGAATCATCATAAATACTCGACCGGCCCACTCTCTCGGGGCCTTGTTTGGGGTATCGGCTTCCAAAAGGGCTAAACACCTCGTTAAGTCCCGCAAGCGAAACCCGTCGGGGTCCGAAAATGGGCGGATCATTAAGATCGTACGTTTATAATTCAAAACATCGGCTCCCGGGCCCCGCTCGATTGCACGTCCTGGAGAACCGGTTGTTGAAACCCTTCAAGAGAGCGGGGCCTCCCTAATGTCAGACTAATGTCGAGTGGGGAATATATGCAAAGTTCCTACCAAATATTGTGCAAATCTTTCTAAGCAGGAAGAGATCGTAAGGTTAATTATATTCGGATATTCGCGGGAACTGAAGGGTAAAAATGCTTTTCCGTCGCAAGAATCGAAAAGTAAACTAAGCGGAATAACATATGTGCGCGAATCAATTTTACAGTCAAAAATTTTCTATCATAATTTTTCTAATATTATAGAAAAAAAAATTGCACGAGTGTATATAAATACACAACAAAAACTTTTATCGTCAAATAAATTTCTAAATAAATTTTCGGTCAACGGATTTGTGCGATGTCACATATAAGAAGACACGATAATCTATTGAATAATCGCGATAATGGCGCACAAGTGCATGGGGGTCGTCCGTGATATTTATTTCCATTGTTGTACTCGAAGAAGAACGCGAACTTTGTCCGGCCCGATTCGCTGCGGAGATGGCATAAGTACCCGGGAGAGTGGTGTTTGTCGACACGCGTGTGTGCACGTGCACTACAAGTCGCTGTTAAGTCACTAAATCAACAAGTGTCGTGCCTCGAGCGTGGGTACACAAGCTAATAATAGTGTTTAGATTCTTGCGTCGCGCTTTAAAAAAAAAAAAAAAAAAAAAAAAATCGTTATCTCAGGTGCGAGAATCGTCGCGGATTCGCTATCGACATATTTTGTTTCTTTTTGCGCTTCCGCTTGGTCTGCGCAATTTCTCGCGAAGTACCATCTTCATAGATTCATTCACGATAATCTCTACCTCCGGCGCCGCCGCGCGCGATCACGCTCGCGCCGCTCGACCGCGCGACGGATCGCGCGAGTCGTCCTCGTGCTGGTCGCGCGTCGTGGCGTGTGCTCTCCTCTTCTCACTTCTCCGCTCGTGTCGGTCCGCGCGCGAGTTCGGCGCGTCCGGAGCAGTGTGCAGGTGTGCCCTCGGTGAGCGAGGCGTCCCCTCCCCCGCGCTTCCCGCACGCAACGAGGGCCCCCTCCTCGACTAGCAGGCGTCAAGCGGCACAGAACCTGTGCAGGCTCCAACAGGCCCCCGATCTGTGGGAACGCTCCGGCCCGCGAGCTTCCCACGATACGCCACGGCTGCTGGCTGGCTGGTTGTGCACGCGGGCTGCAGGCTTCGCCACCGCGTCCCGCAAACCCCTCTGTCGCCGTAGCGCGAGGCGCAAGACGACTGGCGACGCTGGTGGGGAAGCGCGCTGCATATAAAGAACGGGTTGCACCCCACCAGCGATCAGAACCGTCACGAGTACGTACGGATTCAGACATACGCATTCTCGGCACTCCGAGACTACACAGCTCTTACTCCAGTAATACAGAGTAATACTAGTATAATCCAAGGGCGAAATTTGTTTTCGATCGCGCATTCACTTCTCCCGACTCTTCCGAACAATCCTTGAGGATTGTCCTCGGAGCTTGAGACGCGCAACGCCGAAGAAAGCAGCTGTTCTGGACTTACTGAAGTTGTTTTTTGTGACCAGTGATAACACGACGATACAAAGTGTGAACATCATGTCGCCGCACACGAGCTACACGCCGGTCAGCGGCATGGAGTACGAGGAGCCGGTTTCGCGCACCTATCAATACCGCAAGGTGATGAAGCCGATGCTGGAACGCAAGCGACGCGCGCGCATCAATCGCTGTCTGGACGAGCTCAAGGACTTGATGGTGACCGCGTTGCAGGCCGAGGGTGAGAACGTGGCGAAGCTTGAGAAGGCGGACATTCTGGAGCTGACGGTGCGTCATCTGCACACACTTCGCGCCGCCAGACGACTAACTCTCACCCCGGAGAACAGCTACGCCGATCGATTCCGCGACGGCTTCACTCAGTGCGCTCAGGAAGTGTCGACCTTCCTTTCGACGCCGGTCGCAGCGGCGGTGCATCCAGCCGCGGGCGCTCAACTCATGCGACACCTCGGCGGCTGCCTGCGACGATTGGAGGGCCCGGCTGGCGCCAAACACACGGTCGCAACAGCAACAGCGGCAGCAGCAGCAGCAGCGACGACGAAGACAACGATGTCCGGCCAAACGAGCGTACCTCAGAACGTGTACACTCCGCCGCAGAGTCCCGTCAGTGTCGCGAGTTCCTCTGGTGAATCCTCCGAGACGTCCACCAACGCAGTCTGGAGGCCCTGGTGATGATAAGGATGACGTTTGAATTATTTTGACACTCCTTTGGAGCGGACGAGATCGGGATGGACGACGATTCCTCGACGAAGAGGCTCACGTCCTGACGCTGCGACGAAGGAGAACGACGAATCACTGTCTTCCAAATGATAACTCTTTTCTTACGAAGCCTCGTTGTAGAAAAAAAAACATTTAAAGACGTTTTGAGAACTTTTATGTTTAGCTTCACAGCGGGGCGTCAATTTTATCGTATTGTACATAGGTGATAAAGCTTTAAGTGATATCTGTGATAGGGTTCCATTTTTGTACCTGAGATGACTATTTTCTCGCAAAGTTAAAGCAACTATTACATAGATAACTATTAACTTGTTATGTTTAAGAATCTCTTTTGAAAACAATGATCGGCACTTCTCTGTGTCTTGAGATTGGCCGAGTCGCATCATCAATAAACGTCTTGTTTCAATGATAAACAACGTCTCAAATTAATTATCACCCGATACATGTCATGTTCCTTTTTTCCTCATGAAGACAAGATCAAACCAAACAAATTGATATACAAATAATTGTTATTTCTTGTAATATGCGTCGAACTATGTATTCAGTCTAAAAAAAAAAAAAAATGTTTTTCCTCATTTCCATATTTAACGTAAAACTTAAACAACATTATTTTCCATTGTGTAAATGCTATTGTGTATTAGTACAGGTAATCATAAATCAACGATTGAAGTTATCTTACTGAGATTTCACAATGAGTCATGCTATAATGGTTATCTACATACGTGACACAAGCATTGTGGACGTTTTGAAGTTATATTTGACAAGCGATGTATATTACAACATTTTTATTGATTTATATTTTTTTTTCTCGAATTTTTCACACATTTACAACTAATCAAAATAAATTTACAAAATAATAATTTGTAAAATATAAAAACTATTTTCAAAAAAAAGATCGGAGAAATATATCATAGATCTGGTTTATTTGTCGACCATTTGTCTATAACTCTTGCCGACTTTTCACACAGCCGACTCTACAGATTCTACACATCACCAGGAAATCCCAAAGAAATTACAATAACGAGATTGAACCGCGTTAAATTGCATAGCGCGCGACGCCGAGAACGCTACAGCAAGTCACCTTCGCCGCGTATATAAAAGGCGCAATACAATGTTCGGGGCCGGCGATGTTTTTAATCGCGACATTGTAAGAAATCGAAAACCACCTGTCACACTTGCCGCCGGGCATATACCCTGTCATGCCCCGGAGGTGACAAAGCTGACACATGAATATTAACGTGTCTTACGTGGCTTAATATGCGAGCTTTCTTGCGTCCCAACCTTAAAACACAATTTAATCAATTTCCCTCATTCTCCACGCGCGTCACAAGCACAATATCCGCTTCGCGCGCGTTTCAAGAAGAGAGAACGCAGTTTTGCTCTCGCGTTTTCACACGCAGATCCAGCGTGATATATGTACATTTTTTTTGTCGCTAAAAATCGATTTCGCCGAAATTTGTTAATTGGCACGCTAATTAACGCCACTCGAATGAGTTTTCTTTTTGTCGACCGAAACGACCTGCGGTCTTCCGCAAAAAGGAGAAGCAAGCCAAGGTGGCCGAACAGATGAACAGATCGCTCCAAATGTCATCGATCAATCGCGCGCCGCGATCGATGGGTGCGACGCTTTCACACTTTTTCGGTGCTCCAGTCCTCCTTCGGAGCCTGCAGTCCTCCCGAAAACATCGTGATAATTTGATTTCACGTAAGTGGGACGCGCGAAAGAAAATTAACTCTTTCTTTTCTCCTCCCCGTAAGTTCTCCGTCTTACTTTCCGATTAATGCATCGGCACCGTGTTCCGTCGACTGCGCGATCGATAACGAGTATTTAATTGCCGCGCGGTCGCCGAGGTATTTACTTAACACGCGTCTCGAAGCGGCAGATTAATCGACAACTCGCACTTTTTATATTGGCCCCGTGCTTACACGTCTGGCTGTGCATCTTGATATTCATCATCGTAATTATGACACGGTTTCCGCGCGCGTATTACGCTCTCTGCACATTTATCGTTAAAAAAAAAATAAAAGAAAAAAAAACATAACTCCGGTTTCGTAAATGTTACATGTAAAATCTTATTATTGCGAAATCATAGTTGTTCTTCTATCTTACTTTGTTTCTATTTTTTTGCGAGCGTGTAAAAAGAGAACAGAAAACGTCTTCCGTTGTGAAATTACGCGGCTGCGATCAAAAAGACGAACGAAGTTGTTTTAAGGAAACGACCTTTTGATATCAAGAATTTAATTATTTTTTTTTTTCATTATGTAAACAGTGAAACAAATAATGAAATTTTTTTTCATTGACATTCACGCCAAAAATAAACATATTTATCGATCGGAACGACTATTAACGTTGTTTGTGAGAAATAACAGATATGTATATGTACATAAAAAAGGTATTCGTGACATATCCTGTTCTGTCCCGTACAAACACATTTTTAAAATTGAGAAGGTTTTCTAATTTTTTAAGTTTTGCAATTTTGCTATAGAGAGAATTACTTTCTGATACTTTTATTGATGTATGATAATTAAAGTAAATTGCGGTTAATAAGCAAGAGTTGTCAAACCGAACAATAAAGACGAGTATTATCGCTTCTAAAATAAATTGCGCGGCAATTTGCTCTTCTTTTTCCTTCGTTTCTATAACGTTGTTCCTTTGAACGTGCAATCGCACGGTAAAAAGTATCGTCTCGAATGCCAGCGGAAACGAGCCCATCACACCAGCTTCTCATTCAAGCGCAATGTGCGATTGACAGGCGCGCAACTACTCGCGTGCGAGAAATTGCATGTTCGCAATTATCGAGACATACACGAATCGGTCGTTGACTCGCGAACGTTTAAACGTAACGTTGCGAAAGAGATGCTGTGTGAAAATAATCAAATTATCGACAAAAACATTTTTACATGTAGTCAAATGCTAAAGTACGCGAGCAGTCTCAAAAGATAATTTTTATTGAATTTGTTTTGTAACATTTTTTTGTCTCTTTCGAAACGTAAAGTTAAGAGATACGCAAAAGAGTAAAGATTACAAGTGTACATAAAAACATGCAAGATATTTGTGTTTTGACGCAATAATACATAGAGATAAATATTAAATATTCATAAGTAATAAACATTCATTATTGTTTTGCTTTAAAATTTCTAAAAAATCTTTAATCTCTTAAGATAATAATTCTTTGTAAATGTTAAATAAATATTGAATATTCATAAATAATAAATATTCATTATTGTTTTGCTTTAAAATTGTCAAAAACTCTTTAATCCTTTTTAACATAATAATTCTCATAAATAATTCATTAATAATTTTTTAAAACTCTGTAGATATGTAATTTGTATGATTGAAAATTAAGAAAGTTGAGTCGGTGTCTGTTGACTGTTCAAAATTCAAGGATGCGAGCGAGTTCTAAAATAAATTTGCTCTGACACATGTTGCTTTAATAATTTATCGAAGTATAAATTATTGAGAGGTGTGTCGAGTGAATTCCTGTTCGAAAAATCTTCTTATGGTGATATGTATCCTCGCGATTTCATAATTACATCAGAGCAGATCGTGTTTCTTAAGAAATCGACTCTATCCTCTCTCTCTTTCTCTCAGATTTATCTTCGATTTAAGAAAAGATAAACATATTTCCTCACTTTTCAACAAATTGCAGTGGCTCAAAGTCAAGACTAGAAGACAATAATTTATGTTGCTTCTTATATACAGCATAATTTAGTCTAAGCGATTTCTTCTATTTAATGAATTAATATTTAAAAGTAAGGAGTCCTCCCGTTGCACTTCTTTAGACGATCTGCTATCTATATCGATCTGTAGAACAGAAATATTTAAACGATCATTTAGATGTTTCTCTGCAGAGTTGTGGAATAGAATAACTAGTCTTGGCCCTTTTAAGGCCAAATTATAGTCACTTTATGTTGAACAATTATTAATTATTTATGTTTTCTTTATTTATTGTATTTCTATTAATTGCTGTTATTTTTCATTTTTGTTATTATTATTTTTAGTATTTTATTTTATTATTTTGTTATTATTACTGTTATTTTCTTATTATTATCATTTATTATTTATATTCTTTTTCTTTTATTATTATTGTTTTTTTTAATTTATTTTTATCATTTTTCTTTATTTTTGATTATTCTTTCTGATTATTGTATCTTTTTTTATCTATATTGTTATTTAGCGCTTGAGGGAATATTATACCAGAGCGCTTTACAAATAAAGCGACATTCATTCATTCATTTATTTATTCTCTCTGCGTGTGCGTGTCTCAGAGAATATTTTTCCCGCAAATTTTCATAACACAACAAATGTCATTAACGATGGAACATTCGTAAATATTATTCCCGATTTCGTTAATTATAATAATGTGTGAATCAATTTGTGTATTCTAGGTAGGTGTTTGTGGCCGCGTTGTTCATAATGCTGTTAGTGTTTAAACATACAACACACAAATAGGTACGTCACTCGTATCACATTTTTAAAAATTGTGTTTTATTTTAAATAACACAATTCTTTCTATTATATTTGATGTGTGTGAGGTAACAACAGACATATCCAAAAACAAAAACAGAGATGCCAATTATAGCTGTTGATTCACGTATTCAAGTTTTGCACTTAATGCAATTTGATGTTATATATCGCTTTTGCCGTAACTATTGCCGCATTGTCGTTGCGAAAAAAAAGCGAAGTCGCAATATTCCGATAGCGTAATAATTATTCAACGTAAAATCGCTTGTGTGTCAAAATTATTGCAAAACCGTAACGCACGCATTTTGTTCCCGTGTGTTTCCAGGTTATTTTGAAAGATGGATATGATCGACAGTCAAGACGAGATTAGTAGCATCGCAAGCAGCTGTGATATTGAAACCCAGTACGATGAAGAGAGCGTGCCCGATATCGACGGAGATGAACCGTCCAGCGATAAGCACAAGAAATTACCCTTTCGCAGAAGTCTGTTCGATAACGTGGCGCCCTACATCGCTTTTCAGTCGCACAACAAAACTGGTGAATTTCTACCCTATGAGATAACGAGACACCTGAAATGGCATCTCAGCACGATAACGCCGTTGATAGTGCGCAGCGTTGTGCTGAACAGCGGCTATCGATTGCTGAAAAAGTGCCGGAACTGGAGCGGCAGTTGGGGCAAACATCTCAAGTCCGTTTGCTACAAAACGTTAAACGAGTCGCAGAAGGTCAACCACTTTCCCGGGACTTTCCAAATTGGTCGCAAGGATCGACTGTCGCGTAATCTCGCCCGAATGATGATGAAATACGGCAAACGGAACTTCGACTTTGTGCCGCGCACCTATGTGCTACCTCAGGATCTACGTGTGTTCCATAGAGTGTGGGAAAAGACCGGCGGCAAGGAGAAATGGATCGTCAAACCGCCCGCCTCCGCCCGCGGAAACGGGGTTCGCGTGGTCCATCGCTGGTCTCAGATACCAAAGAAACGTGCCGTCGTTGTACAGCAATATCTATCGCGACCGATGTTGATACACGGCGCAAAGTTCGATCTGCGCCTTTACGTACTCGTCACCAGTTTCAATCCGCTTAGAATCTACATCTATCCGAACGGTCTAGTGCGCTTTGCCTCCGTCAAGTACAACGACGACATCAACTACCTCAGCGACCGTTTCATGCATCTCACCAACTATAGCATCAACAAGACTAGCGCGACGTATACCAACAACGACTGCGTGGATTCGCGCACGGGACACAAATGGACTCTGAAGACACTGTGGTCTTACCTCGAACAGGAGAACGTGAATGTCGCTAAAATATGGGCGTCCATAAAGGATATAGTTGTCAAGACGATGATAGCCGGGGAGTCTTCCATCAATACCTTAACGAGGATAAACACAACTTCGAGGTAAGAAAACAAGTCTTTATTTTTTATTAAAATAAACAAATAGAAAGACACGTAGAAAATTAATGTAAAATATATGTATTTGTTTTTATTTTGTTTTTAATCGAATCTTAAGGTACACCTGCTATGAGCTTTTCGGATTTGATATTCTTTTGGATGAGACTCTAAAACCTTGGTTACTTGAGGTAAATATATCGCCCTCTCTGCAGTCTTCCTCGGAGCTTGACATCGCCGTTAAGGGACCCCTTGTTACGAATGTTTTCAATATGGCCGGATATCAACTGCCCGCGAACATACCGGAGGAAATAGTCGATAAACTAGCCAAGAGATATCAATTAGATCAAGTGTGCCAAGATTATAGACTGCACCAAAATAATCTTAGCTATCACGAGCGGCACAAGCAATCCTTGTACGCGAACTTGAGGAATCGAGAGGATTATCTTGACGAAATAATCGAGGATCTCACACCCGACGACGTTCGGCACTTGATTGTGTACGAAGACGAATTGGCGATGTTGGGTCAGTTCGAAAAAATTTTCCCCACTGCCGATAGTCACCATTACTTGCAATTCTTCGACGTTTCGCGATATTACAACATGCTGTTTGACGCGTGGGAGGCCAAATACGACGAAAATCGGGAGAAAGGAATTTTCAGATTGCAGAAGTTGTGCAAGTCCAAGTATCATCTCGAACAGTCGTCATCCGGTGCGATTTATTAGATAATCTTTGTTCCGAGCGCCGTTGACGTCGATGGTATTATACTCAAGAAAGCGTGATACGGCCACACGTCGGCAATCTCCACCAAGTGGAATTTCTTTTTTTCTCAAGGCTGATATACGGGTAAACATACCATTTCCACGTCCGACGGTTCATCAGGAGCCGATTTCATTACGTGCCTTTCTCCACGGTTGTGCAAATTATTCAAATGTATAAAATTCTGTCTTTAATAAAAAAAAAAAAAAAATTTCAGTAAGTGCAGGGCAAGTCTTCTCACGAATATATCAAACAAATCTTATTTTATGTTACTGCACAAAATTGATTTTTTCGATTCATTTTTATTTTTCAATGTAATTTCAGACACACCCTTTGTATATTTCTTAAGAAACATTTGTAAAAACATTTATTTTAGAAAGTGATATAAATTTTGTACGATACTTTTTGAACACAGGAATCTTATTTAGAAAAAATAACATTAAATAATTTACTTTTTTGTTTTACTTAAAGAACATGTCTTGATTTGTTGCACATTATTTTGAACTTCATTCTCACAGAGAAAACACCAGATCTTCGAAACGTAACCAAGCAGGTAAAGCAGGTAGGTGAGAAATCATGCATTATTCATACCTCTCCGTGATAATTACCTTAACGGTAGGAATGCTTGTAAAAACGAATCCGGAGAGTCGTTATTCGTCAATCGCGTCAATCTCTCTTCAATTTCGCGTGCATCTTTTATCCGCAGATTGCCTCCCACCCTCCCTCCCTCCCCCCCCGTTACCTCTTCGATCATTTTAAGTTCTTTGCAATTATGCACCGGAGACGTGTATGCAAAAAATACATTACCGGTAAAAACTTGTCTTAAATTCAGTAATAAAGAGCAAGTGAACATCGGCGTGAGTGTTCCGATGAAAAGAAGGGGGACCCCTCGCGGTCCCCCCCCCTCCCTCCTCCTTTTTCCCCAACTACATTGTCGACAAGTCATCGTACCGAGAACGATGAGACGTTCGCGTATGTCGAAATTATCGAACGCCTAATGGCAACTCGTACGAGATTGGCGGCGACGATAATAAAAAGTCAAAGCTGCCGATACGCAAGAGTCTCTTTGCTAATGTAGCGGCCGTGCATAATTTTCGACAACAAGAACGGGGAACGGGCAAGCACCTGCCCCTCGATGGGCACACACAGGAAGGAAGCGTTTGCGTCTGTGTCATCGAACGATCTTGAAATTTGTGAAAATCTTCAGAGTGCTAATTTATCAATAAATAACAGCGTGTTCGAAGTCTCTTAAAAGCTTCTTTAAGTTGATTTTTTTTTTTTTTTTTTTCGTAGTACGAGTGTCCAAGAGTTGAGAGTAATTTATAGCTGTGTGTGCGCAAAATACTTAGTATGCGCGCGAACACGATACGTAGGTACGTAGAGACGAGAAATGTGTACGGTCTGTGGCGACGTGTCCCCAAACAAGTTTCACGGCTATATTCACCGCGCCGGGGTTTAATAAATCCGTACTGACAATTTAATGTCTCTATTGTGACCGCGACAGTCGGCGCAGCACCGACACAACTGCTTCTTGATTAGGTTAATACGAAAGGGGACCAGATTTCTTCGCTTCCGCCCTTTAAATTCAATTACCGAGTCGGGTACTTCGTCACTTAAAACATCATATATCAGTTTTGTCCGGAGGAAGTACGATCCGTGATCGTAGCGACCGAACCAATTGTCTTCAGAAGCAAAGACACGGGGGAGAGAGGGAGTCGTGTCACGTCTGATTCGTTGGTTTCCTCGTCTAGTTGTGAGTGACAATTAAATTCCGTCGTTTCTCTACTCCAAGTCTTTGACATCTTTGGACACGATGCGAAAATGTCGTTCCATGAATAATAAAGTCGAACGGATCGAAAATGGCTCGTTGTATCTTCAACGCGGATTCACGAGAGAGCTAAACCGCCGCGTATGAATGTAACTATTGATTACTTTTTTGTAAAATTCTAAATTTTCTCGTTATTCAGAAAAATGACTCAGGAAATATCGATTGACGTGTAATTTCCAAAATGTCACGATTATATTCTCGGAACGCGTCTTTGCATACACGACTCCCGACTTCCGAGCTGCAGAATTTGGAAGTGAAATTGTTCGAGGGGGGCGATTTCTCTCGGCGGTGCAACGGAGCACCCTTGCCATTTGGAGACAATGGGCTCCGCTCAGTGCCACGACGGTCAATGAATTGATATCGTTATTGTAACAACATAATAGACATATTTTCTTATTGAGATTGTAGCCTTACGTATGCGCGCGACGTGCGCGCCAAGCCGGGCCGCGTCTCTTTATGAATGTATTCATTCATGCGAGCGCGGAGCCCCGCGTGTGCGTTATGTAACCAACACAACGCCGCGCGGCACGTAAGGCTAAGGACCTCGTCTTCTACGTGAGGACAGATCTCAAGGAGACCGTCGCAACACCGGGACAGGTAGTTACGTGAGCGTTTTTACTGCCGTCCATTAACGCTAGAGATACTCTTGTCTTGTACGTTTCGTGCGATTTTTGATTTTTATTTTGTTTTGTTTTTAGTACGGAACATTTACTCGACCGGGAAAAGGCGCGTCCGAAATGATAAATCTCCAAAGCCCGTTCCGCGAATCGAGCTCTTCGGCTTATTCCGGAGATAATCAGACTAAAATTCTCTAAACTCGCCTTAATTGAATCATTAAACCACCCACGGATTGCGCTTTGTCACTTGATCAAATTGATTCCGGTGGCGGATTCCTAATGAGGAGATACACGAAAAAACTTGAGCAGCAAGACTTAATAATCATTAATAATCATTAAGCAAATAGACTGATCACAGGCCGGTATTCTCTTCGTGGAAATGGAGGTTGTTCGCAGCAACAGTCAGTAACAAAATTACATCTCATTTGTCAGCATCTTACACTTGGTTAATGGACTTTGAAACGAAGAGAGAAGAAAAAAAACGTTAAATTAGGATCAATGAAAAAAAAAAAAAAAAAAAACGGAGATATATTGCGTTAGATGCGTGTAAAAGTAGAAGTGACTCATCAATGAGCAGAGCGATGTAAATTTCCTCGCGTCTTCGATTCACGCACGAGCCACTCATGCATTTATGTCGGTCGTCGATTAGATCATTAGACGTCCGTTCCTTGTCGGCTTCGCGGAGTTCGTGCTCGCGATGATTGTGAGACGCGCGATTACAATACGTCCTCCGCACGTGTGCATAATTAGCGTATCATTTGACCGTTGTCGCATAAAAGACGGTCTCGTATGATTCGTCCAAGGACGGTTCTTGCGAGTCGTTCAAACGTCGTCGTATAACAACGGTGTAATTTCGACATTAACCGCGTGTATTTAACTCGCGCGGCGGCACGTGACATGCGATTCTAGTACTCGTAGCGATTACTCACGCCGTCATTTTACAGATGTTCCACAAATGTTTTTTTTTTTTCATTTGTTTCCTTACTTCAAGTATAGTTTGAATAATTTTTTTTTTATCCAAAGATATAACTCGCGAACTTTAAACACATTTTCTTTAATTTCTACTTTTACTTTTATAAAAACATGATTTGAAACAAAAGCAAATCTATTGCAACATCTTATAATTGTTTTATTATGTGTTTTGAAATAATGGTTGTTACAAATTTTCATCCCCATCGCGCAAACATTCGCGGTTTGACATCGATCCGATTCGCCCTCTAATTTATTCGGCCGACTATTCGCAGCAACAAGTACACGCGAGATTCCGCTTGCGCGCGCGCGAGGACGTGTACTCGACCCTGGGTAACGACTTAATAAACCGACGGGGATAGAGGGGGTGAGGACGGTGGGGTATCGCAGTGCGGGCGGATGCGAGCACGTGGAGCGGCCGGGGCGGCGCGGGAGCGTCGCGGTAGTCAGGTGCGTCGCGTGCCCCCCGCCTCCGTCACGTAGCTAGCTCGTGCTTTGTTTTGAGAAGGCTTAAGAGCGCTCGTTCCCACGCTTCCGCGCGCGTTCTCCCTCCCTCCTTCCGTAGTTGGCGTGCGTGCCTCGTGTCAAAATTCGTATTCGAGATATATACGGTAAATTCTCGATTATCTTCCGAACATCCGTTTGTCCATTTGAAATTTTGATCGCGAGCTGAGATTGGCCTTCCCCGGCCGACGCAATCGCTGCAATCTAATCACGCGCGAGGTGTGGAACAACGCGAAAGAAACAAGCCCCTGACAATTAGATATCTTTATCAAAAAAAAAAAATAAAAATAAAAATAAAAAAACTAACAAAATATCCCACGCGTACGTACGTATCGCATTAAATCTTTTTTTATATTGAAATATATAAAAATTTATCGAATATCGTTCGGATTCCGCACAATATATATTGCGACACATAGAGTAAGTGCAGCGAGATGCAGATTTTGCGCGCGAGTCGTCGCACGAGCGCGGCGGCACGCTCTTCGCGCGACGCGGCAATAAATCGGTTTACACGAGAGGAGAAGGAGGTTTCCTTTGTATACACGCCGTTCTCTTTCAGCCGCTGTGCATTAGTCGATCGGTTCCTGAGGGGCTTGAAATAAAACGACATTTGTGGAAGGGGGAAAAGAAACTCTTTCCTCTCTCGCAAAACTAATTCATTATCACGCGCGCACACATATGTATATACACGAAGTAGATCATTTATCGCACGAATTAGACCACGCATTTATCTTTTTTTTTTTTTTTTGTTCTCTGTCTTTGACGCCTCTGACGGCGAGACAGTCCTCGAACTCTCTCTGTCTTACTATCGTGCGCGCGTGATTACAAGGCTGCGCATCGGCCGGACGCTCCTTCGAATATATCACGACGGACTTGCCACATACTTTCACGCCGCACGTACGCTCGTAAACCGCCTCCTTTTCCTGGCCGAGCGGCGAATATTGTCACGCAGCCCATTCCCAGACGCGGATAAGGATGCGCGCGTGCACGAAGCGTGCGCTGACGACGTAAATCTCGCCTTTCTATCTCTCGGCGAGAGATAAATGTGCTTGTGTGTCGCTTAAATTTTTGACAGATTTTTGCGTTTCGAGACGCAAAATCGCTGATGATTTTTTAATAAAAATAACCAAGCGAGTAAATGATAAATCATCGATTTTAAACAAAATTAAAAAAAAAATATGCGAGATCGTCGCGAACGAAAACGCAACGCTGTGAACACTAAGAATAAAAATTATGCCAAATTTCGAGGTTGTTTCAACACTTCAGTTACAAAAAATTGATCAAAAATGTTATTCAAGTATGCTATTTAATAAATCAAGTTAAATTTCAGGAAATCGAGTACTCTCCTATACAAAAGACATTCCGCTCATAAAAGAGCGAAGGAGCGAAGGGGATGTCGTTGTAATATTTCGAGCCCTTCCTCACAATCGGGAATACCATGATATTAGAGAGCGTATATACCACGGTTAGCGCGTGCATAGAGGAGGATTC